GAGAGTACCATAACGAGATAGATCACATCATAGTAAATCAGAGGTTTTGCGTGACCGACGTCGCTGTTGTTCCCAAGTTCTACACGGTATCAGACCATCGCCTCCTTGGCGCAACGCTCCGTTTTTCCAAGAGAGGAGAGAAAGCCGCTAAATTCAAGCAACGAAATCCCAGAACTACCATAAACTGGAATATACTCAAATCATTAGTCGGCTCTTGGAAAGATACCGTTGTCGACAACATCGACTGAAGAATACGATCGACTCCTTGAATATCTTCACGTTAGCGCTATAAAAGTCGAGAGTCCTAAGGTCACGAAGAGACGGTTGTCACCGCAGACACTCGAGCTAATACGTCAACGTGGAATCGCACGAGCTGCAGGCGACAGGTAAACCTTACGTCCGAACTTGCGTTACGCTGCAGAGAAGCGATAAAAGAAGACCTCAAGGAGAGAAGAGCAGCAGTTATGGCAGAAGCTGGGAAGAGCATTTGCAAAGCCCAGCGAGGCTTCGCCAACTATAAGACCAAGATGATTGCACTCCGATACCCTGAAGGGACACTTACAGCTTCGAGAAGGGCTATGGAGAAAAACATCCACCAATACTACTCGGATCTCTTCGCTAGCCATGTCCTCTTACTGTCATATAAATTGAAAGAGGACGAGTATGTCGTTCCACCGTTCCTCCCTTCCGAAATTCGACATGCTATATCGTCGGTGAAGAACAGAACAACACCCGGTCCAAACAGGATTAGACCAGAACATCTGAAGAATCTACCGCCAGTTCTCATCAACACCCTGGCTCGGTTCTTCACTCGCTACCTGTCAGAATGCAAGGTCCCTGTTCAATAGATAACCAGCAAGACCCATATTGTTGTTCAAAAAGGGAGACCTTCACGACATAGGCAATTATCGTCCAATCTGCTTGCTGTCCGTTGTCTATAAACTCTTTACTCGAGTCATCCTAAACAGGATTGACAGAACACTGGACGAAGGACAGCCATGCGAACAAGCAGGGTTCCGAAAAGGATTTAGTACCATGGACCACATCCACTCGATTACAAGACTCATTGAAGTTTCACAAGAGTACAAACAACCACTTGGTCTCACTTTCATCGATCTGAAGAAAGCCTTTGATTCAGTGGAAGCAGAAGCGGTTATAGAGGCTCTAGATAACCAGGGCGTCCCTACTCGGTGCTTAATGATCCTTCATGAGCTTTATAAAGACTTCACGACCAAAATATCTTCATTCTACAACAATATCACCATTGACGTAAGAAGAGGGGTTCGACAAGAAACCATTCACATTTTTCGGTATTTACAAATGACGCTATTATTGGAGTCTACATAACCTTAAAAGTACATTAAATTAGCTAATGAGCTATTCATCTAGTGAGCATATTACAATAGGTCTCAAGAATTTCAAATAGAGGAGTGGTGAACAACAAGAGGTCGACTTGTGTAGATCACCACTATGAGCGAAATCAGGTTGGACTTTGGCCCCTATGTCTGAAAGACAATGTCAGTAACTGCTGAGCTAAATCACCACCTACGATTTGTATCTAACAGTTCCTACTTTCTGCTTCTTTATATCTTTCATGCTAAGTGAGCCAGACGTTGCGTGAATGATAAAGATCAGTAAAAAAAATGAATGAGCACTAGCTCGAGCAATCACAGGATTGCTCATCGTTCACCAAGTAATTCTCCATGGTTCTGGAAGAATCTGATTCCCAAAGTGGAAAACTTCTCTCCCATTCACGAAAGAACCTCCTAATGGCGATCTAAGAATAACATAACCCGGCTGTCTTGAGACTTTTGGAAAAACTGAAGAATTTGTTCGCTCTTCATTATTTTTACTTGTCTTCTCAGCGAGAAGATACTGCTATCGCAGAGTGAACGCCTTTAAAAAAGTAGTCAGTTGAAAGACGCACAAAATCCTCTGCTTTTGCATCGCATGCAAGCTCCACAACAAAGTTATGGATGTGTACCTCATCATTTCCTTCATGCCTCAATGTACACACCAGTTACGCTTTTAGATCTGAATATTCACTATCGGAGTCTTTCATCAGACAAATGTTCTGCGTCGCACTCATACTCTGGCTCCGGCTCCGGCTCCGACTCATCAATATCAGATCGCTGTGGCAAAAATAAACTCCGGTAAGGTTCAAGCAGTAATTTCAATCATTTTAGAACAGTTACCATATAGCTATAATCAATGGATAGGGAAAACAACTATAACTGGTGAATCTCGAAGCAAGAATCAATGGTCTACTTTAAATGCTTTTGGAAAATCGTCGAATCAAAAGCTTCCACTTTGGTATTGATTTTCTCCCACTTGCGTCTATCGTTGACCACGTTGGAAGAAGCAGATCGAACATTCTGTCGATTTAAAGATCTCTAAAGCATAACACAGCAACTATTTGAATTATATACTGCTGTTAGAAGTTGTGGAAATTACTACAAGAGATTTGGGAACTCGAACCACAATCCTTAGCGAGTACAGTTCAGTTATGAGAGGACAAATGAAAAAGAGATCTCATTCGTTGGAGAGGAAATTTTCATAGGAGTGTTGGTAAACATTCGAAAGCTGAGACGTGATGCTACAGCCCCACGTCGTCGGTTTTCGAATAAGATTTTTCTGACGCTGCTACAAGAGGAGATTTCTTGGCTTCCGACACGCATGTTTCTCGCCAGACAGAGCTCTTTCTTTGGATTATCAGTAACCATTAGATAACGTAATCGTTTCTGATTCCAACGCTATGCTTAAATCCTGGAAAGATTATTTCTCTGAAACGCAGCAGGTGAAATAAGTTGAATGTCCATCTGCGATCAATGCCCTCTTTGGCCAATTCACGTGGGTGTGCGTGAGGCTCCCACGTGAACTTCTGACACAATACTTCTCTGCGCGTTCATATGCCCAAAAAGTTGATGGTCATCGCTTCATCGAACGTGGCTGCTAACCAGCCGCATGTGAGTTAGCCAAAGAGGGCATTGATGGTAGATGGAAATCCAACTTATTCTATCTGCTGCATTTCAGAGAAACGGTCTTTTCAGGATATGAGCACAACGTTGGAATCAAATTTAGTTACGCTATTGAAGGATTACTAATAGTCCAAAGAGAGAGCTCTGTCAGGCGAAAAATATGCACATCTGAAAGATAGTTTTGTGTGGAGATTTTTCCGAACTTCTTAGATATTTCTAAGAATTGCTGATGGAAAAGTATGTGGCGTTGTAATCGCAGGTGCACTGCGGCACACGGCGTCGATTTTGCGACCTCTAGTCAATGGCTCGTCGAGCCATTCATCACTCCGCGGTAGGTATATCGGCACCAAACTCGTCTGGGAGGATAAGGAGCACTGACTCGATACAGCGGCAGGTCGCCGTGAGTCATTGTAAGGCCAGATATCTATCAAATCATCTCAAGCGAGGCTATCGGGTTTGCGGGAAATTTCCCGGACTTTTTCGCCTTTGTTAATTATTTTCCATGCAAATACGCTTTCATCAAAACCTATAGTTTAGTGCAGCCTCTTGCGGTTACTTTAATACATAAACTTATAAACTTATCCTAAGATGCAATTGTTCAGAGAGTATAAACGATTGTTGATGCCACGTGAGTCGAGTATCGTTGGGTGCCAAAGCAGCAGCTGAACCCAAATGATACTCGTGTAGCATCAACGATTGTATGTGCTCTCGGGACAATTCCATCTTAGAACAAATTAATAAGTTTACATATCAAAATAATCGCAAAAAGCTGATTTGAACGATAGCAAAAACCAACATTACAAATGCATGACCAATATTCAGCAAAAACGAGAAAGTCCGAGAGATTTCTTGTTGGCGCAATCAAAATTGAACACAAATGCAGGGCACATCTCTCAGTGATTGATCAACCTTATTCCTTATCTTCTTGTATTGTCGATAAAGAAAGAGCGTGCTCAGGAAATCACAGAAAATCTAAATTCGCTTATGAAGCTACTCTAACTCACAGAGAAATAATGTTTCTGAAATAAACCATACACCACAGTAAGATATGCGATTTAAATATTCTGTAGTAGCCTGATCTAGCAAAAAAACTATCCAACACTGGCAAGATAGATGCGCAAAAAAGTTTCATTTGGCCAAGCTTACCTGCCATTTCACAAAGTATCCCGGCTTGTCCTTTTTATTTTCTCGTTTGTTCATAACTGCTTCCGCCTTGAAGAATCCTGAAGTGTTTTCTTTTAGCAATAATTGAGAAATCAAATTCCCTTATTTACCGCTTTTAGCAGTAGTATGACGTTACAAATATATCCAATTTTGTTGAGCTGACATTAAACGGGACTCGAATCCGTTTTTACCTTTTACAGGAGATCGTGTTCTAAGCGGTAGTACTATCGACGCTTAGGCGAAACCGTTGATGGTTGATTGCTGACAGATTTGTTCGATGTAGCGTGGGAAAGATGGTGACAAACACGCTCTGGTGGCGCATTTGGTTAAAGCACGCGCTCCCGGAAAGGGTGAAATGCGGGTTTGAGTCCCGCTGACGTCAAAATTTTGCGGAAACTTGGCAAATCATTGGAGTAGATGTAGTCAGTGGTTGTTTAACTTACGCCATGAGAACCCCTCTCATTATCCTGTCGACTGCTCCTTTCCATAGTTGAAAACTGATGTTAAACGCTTTTACCTTAATCAACATTTCCATGAAGGGTGTAAAAATACGAGTAAACAGCTAGAGGACAAATATAACACGGAGTGAATTCTGATAGAACTAAGCGGTAAATCCCGTTAAATAGACAACATAGTCAAGAAAGCTGAACGTCCAACAGCTTGAAATGCTCGCAACCTACAGCACAGAAAATTGGCTCAGAAAATTTGAGGATCTAATTGAAACCTGGATAACCAAGCATTCATGAATATAAGTAGTCAAAACATTCCTACGACAGTAGCGAGATGAGGAACATTTCACAAGAGTCGGAGCTATCACGTTGGGTACCAGGTTAAACTTCTGCTTGGCATGCGACGCTGTTGACTTGGTGGCAGAGAGCGTTTATGATCATTTAGGTGTCACTACAGCGACGGACCATGAGCTGTATTCACAGGAAGTATAGTTTGATGGACTAAGAGCCTCTAAGCTACGGTCTGCATAAGTAAAGCGAACAGTAAGCCACAATAATTATTAGGTCGTTCCAAAAATTTGAGCATCAGAGCAATAGGCATCGAACATATCAACCAAAAGTGTTAGAATTGCATTATTTTTGGCATCGCGCAGAGAAGCATTTTCCATGACGAACTTTCACTTATGGTTCATTTTCTCCAGCTACTCTTAGAAGGTGTGTAATTTGTTTTCTTCAGCTGTTAAAATAAAGGAACAGATGGTGCTGTTTTTATGCGCAAATTAGAGACGAATCAGGGTATGCGGTGAGCCCTCATAGGAGTAGACGTTATGAGTGAGAGAGCGATGGGTAGTGAAAGTGATTCAAGGTGTCCGCAATGGAACCACTGGCAGTGAGATTCATTGTAGTGGTGATCATATTTGAAAGTGCAGCTATAGCATGATTTGTTCACTAGTTGTATAAAAGAGCATAATGCATTAAATTTTAACCTGCCTCTCAGAGTAAAGCCATGTTTGGAACAGTGGGTGCCGTAGGGTAAAGAGGAAGGACATGAAGTGGATTGTGGAGCAGTTTATTGGCACACTAGGCAAACGTATTTTTCACGATAAAGTGAGCCCAAACCAAGCTTGCGTTGGAGAGCACCTAAACGCAGAATCATACGAGCTCCTGTGTTCTTGAATATATTACATTATTAGCAGTTTACATTCAAAAAAGGGATAGAATTTTACAGAATCTGTAGAACTAATCAAGAGTTGTTATAAGCTCTCGTGCCTCAAAACATGCCTTACACTGTATATCTGCTAGCAACAGACCTCTTGATAAGCTAAAATACATTGTCAAATTATACTGTCCTTGAGCGAGTTCTCAAAAACACTGGATTACAATATTTGTTTCACAAGCCCACGTGACAGCCATATGCCATTCAATCGACAATCCATCATTTTGAAAAAACACTACGGTGATTGTTTCACCGCACGTCGAGTGTTAAAAGTTCGTCGTCGATTTTTCTAAGTAGAGGTGTATTCTTGAGACACTGACTGAGCGAAAAGGCACTCTGCAACTGACGAAGTTGTAAGGCCGAAACACAGTCTTCCACTCTATAAGTGCGCATAACAGACCACACGCATGGCTTAAAATACCTTGTCATAACACAATGTTCTAAATACTCTCCTCCTAGTTAAGTATGAGCAAATTAGACTTCTTCGTAATAAAGCCATTGCTTACACAGTCGTCAGGAATCAACAGTGATTTTATCAAAGTAGAGGATAATCTGGACATGTCACATTTCTATGATGAGTTTCAGAGTTTCATGCACAAATGGTCTATGGCAAGGAATGAGGTCCCCCCAGCAGAGGATCAAAATGGCTCGTACAAGTCATCTATGACAAAAACGACAAGAAGTCTATGTCGATCTGCTACTTTATATATACATAACCGCTTTCGACAAATATCCTCTCAACGACTCACCTTTATTAGCTTAAGGGCTACGGGCCGAGTCTTTAGATCACGACAAGGTCGATTATATTGAAGTAAATCTAGAAGAAAACAAAATAGGCTTGTTGTTTTGCTGCTGAAACGGTTCCTAGTACACTACCATTTTCACTACTCTTCAATGGATTAAAGACAATAACTTTTAAGTGCTCCACGGATTGATCAATGCTATCAATCATAAAGGATAAAGCTCTCGGCGTTGATCAATCCCTGAGGGATGCGCCATGCATTCGACTTCAATTTCTAACTTCGTTTGAGGTGATTGAATGCACATCTGGCCTATACAGTGACTCGCGGTGGCCTCCCGCTAAACCGAGTCAGTGCTGCTTATCCTCCCAGACAAGTCTGAGACCTGTCTGGTACCAATTTATCGACCCCGGAGAGATGGATGGCTTGGTCAGCCATGAGCGCGAGGTCGAACCAGTGACCTCATGTGCGACGCAGGGCACCTCTAACCACTGCGCCACATGCGCTCTTTACTTTTGCTATCAACCATATCGCACCAATAATCGGTGAGTGTTAAATCAGTTTGTAATGGAATTACCTGTGTCACCTGCCGTCCCGTTGATCATCGAGTGGCTCGGACGAGTACCAGCAACTCTTCCACTTTTCCTATCGAGTGCAAGAGTAGCCCAGTGGGTTTTCCACGCTCTGAGGATTCGCTGGGCATCATATCTTTCTGCTATGCTCTCGTGAAGAAAACGGACCACCGGGTCGGTGGTCGTCCTGTGGAGCGCTTGATATCCCGAGTAATCCGCTCAGTATCGGCTCTCGTTCATGGGGTTCGTAATGGAATAATCTTTCAAATAGCGTTCTGTTGCCGTACAAAGTATATCAGAATATGTCATATTCACGCCCGAAAGTGAACAGCATGAAGGAATGCCACAATATCACGCATAATCCCACACAATGTCCCAAAACGTTACTTTGATGTGAGGAAGGTACTTCGGCAATCGAAATGAGTTCTGTACGGTTGTTTTTGAGGTGGTATGCGCAGTGAAAGAAAGCGGTGAGTGTGTGGAAAAGATGTCTTACTTCCAAGGTAATTGAAATTAAGATCAAAAGACCTTTTCTGTTGAGATTTTGGAACCATTTGGTTGACTGGGTTGCAGTCAAAATGATATTTTCAGGCTTCAAAGAAATGAGCATCTGTCGAAACGTCAGGTGTTCTAAATTATTAGTATTAGGTTTCTCCACAAGTTTTGGCACCAGAGCAATGATCACCAAACTTGATAACATAAAGTAAATAATATTGCATGATTTTGGTATCGTTCAACTGCGCATTTGTTTGCGAACACAACTTGCCTATACTTTCTTTGAGATGAAGCTGTCTTGAAAACATATTCGCTTGCTACTCATGCAGGAGCGGCGCATATGGGAAAACGCTAGTGAAGTGGATTAGACATAATTAATGGAGCTTGGCCATGATACGCTGAGAGAGGACTGCTACGAAGTGGTTCGAGAAGTACGAAGTTGAAGAAAACAATGAGGAGGATCATCCTCGCTTGGGCTGTCCAAAGAAAGCTTCGTCACTCTTGCGCGCAGCTTCACTAGCATTTTCCCCTGCTCGCCAATCGTTCATGAGTAGCAAGCGAAATTGTTCTCACGACAGCTCCACCTTGAAGCAAATTTATGCAACTTATATGTCAAAAATAATGAAAAGAAAATGAGCATTTGGACGATAATAAAAATCGTGTAATTTTAATTACTTCTGGCTAATATATTTACTGTTTGTTGCTTTAGCGCCAAAACTTATGGGACGGACTTATGAAGAGCTTGCGAACCGTGAATTTTTGTAATCATGACAACTAGGTTCGAGAACTTCTTCATCAATAAAGATAAAAACAATTACAATTAGCTTATTTACAACAACAAGAAAAAAGGTTGTCTGTTTCTATAACACAAATATTGGGGCCCAGGGATTGGAGGAACTCTTCATGCATTTTCCGCCTTCTTGTGGTTGTGAAGGAGTTTAACCTGCAAGGAGTTTTCGTTATACTTAAAAAGCTGGTAAGCGGTAGGCACTCGATCTGGCGAATATGGACAGCAAGCAAAACCTCATTAGCAGCGAAACATAGAGGAATGCGCATTAAAATGATATATGCTTATACTTAGATGGTCAGTCTTCACTATTTGTGGGGACCCCAGCACAATTCCAAATGGTATATTGCTGGTTGTGCGTATAATATTCCTTGATTTTCTGACGTAACCTTGCAAGAGCTTATTCAGGTATTAACGATTTTTCTTCCAAGAAATGGATTTCGGCAATGAATCCTTGGCCGGATTTTTTACTAGGTGATTCGGCACGATGTTAGACCGAAAGAAAAAGTGCAAGTAGAGGAAAGAAAATGAACCGAGCCCTCACGGATGATGTTGGAGCCGAAATCCGGAATGATATATATACTGAATTTATTTGGAAGTTTATTCCAATATCAAACGACAAATTTCTACAATACATAGTCCGTCAGTAGTTTTATATCAACCTAATACAGTAACAACTCCGTATTTCCAGGGATCTAGTGGCGATCTGCGTCGGCACTGTGAAATAATTTGACATTTTCTTGTTGACTCAATAGAGTTTGTTCAGTACAATGCAGACAATACTAATCGCTGGCGTTATCAGTCAATTATCAGTTCACCAGTATCAGTAGCGAATTATCAGTCATCCACCAGTCAACTTAGAAAGAAGTCTATCTCGGCTTTTTTAGTTGCCTACATAGACGTCGTCTGGAACGATTGCTGCATTGGCAGCATCGTCAGTTTGAATCGCGTCTTTTCTTAAAATTCTGCTGCTTCTCTTGCCCAATCAAAATACATCGCTGGGCTGTTATCAGTCATCTTCTGCAGACTAAATTCTTGGAGAACCGCCACTGATACTTCTGAGTGAACTTGAGGTTTGCCAACGCCACATAAACGCACCACCACGTCGTTGCGTGAGGTGGTG